GTGTGTGTGTGCACACCTGTGCTCTGTGTGCCTCTGGGTGTGAGCTGTGTGTGTACATGGGCCTGAGCTCTGTGTGTGTGCACACCTGTGCTTCATGACCCTCTGAGCGTGTGTGTGTGTTTTGTGGAAACAAACAAAACTCCACAACTTTATGAAAGTTGTAAAGCTGGTATGTTTATTACAGTGCTGGATACATGTGGAGATTACTCTCCTTAAAAGATGTGTGTACCTCTGGGAACTCCAGATCTTTTTTTATCTCTTTCTCAAATACATATGCATACGATTTCACAATAGGTTCATACATATTCATTTTTACCAATTTCGGTGACATTTGCCGCTAATTCTTCTTTATCAGAAAGAATTCTTGGGTCAGGTTGACTTGCTTTCATAGCAGTCTCTCTGTCTCTCTATTTGCCCCCCCTTATCTCTGTCCTTCGACTGAAGCAGTCTCTCTGAGCACAGGCTTTTTACAAGAACAGGCAGTCAGACTAAACAGCTATGTTTTTGAACTACAGACTTAACTCAAAGATGTACATTTCACCTAAATCAAAATGGATTTCTACTCTGGAAAAGTTTTCACTCTGTCTCGTGTGTGTACGTGGGGCTGAGCTGTGTGTGCATGCACACCTGTGCTCCATGTGCATGTGGGGTGTGTGTGAGTGAGTGCATGGAGCTGAGCTCTCTGTGTGTGCACACCTGTGCTCCGTGTGCCTCTGGGGTGTGTGAGTGTGTGCATGAGTGTGCAGAGCACGCTGGCTGCTGCAGCTCAGGGTGCCTGGGCATCCCTCACAGTTCTGGGGCATCGCTGTCCCCAGGGGAGGCTGCAGTGAACAGAGCTGGGAGCTGCTGGGCAGAGGGACAAGGCCAGACCGGGGTTTGTGTCCAGGTTTGACTGGGAGGGGAGAGTGGGACAGAGCTGAGGCCCCACTCTAGCTCTGGCTTCTAGGGTGTTGTGAGTGGGGCTGCTGTGTAATGTATTTGCTGGGAAATGACCTGATGAAGGCAGGAATGATGGATCTGACTGCATGTTCTCAGAAAGCTAATTTATTACTTTATAATACTATATTATGCTACAGAATACAGAAAGGATACTTACTAAAATGCTAAAAAGATAATCATGAAAACTCCTGACTCTTTCCAGAGTCCTGACACAGCTTGGCCCTAATTGGCCAAAGAGTCAAAACAACTCACACCAGAATCCAATGAAGGTGGCTAAACAATCTCCAAACATATTCCACATGAGCAAAACCCAGGAGAAGCAAATGAGATGAGAATTGTTTTCCTTTTCTCTGAGGCTTCTCAGCTTCCCAGGAGAAAAATCCTGGGTGAAGGGATTTTTTGAGAGAATGTGAATGCCACAGCTGCAGGCAGCAGTGTTATTTTGCTTGTCACACCATGCCTTCAGCTTCATTTCTGCCTCCTGGAGCCTGCCTGGAGAAGTCCCAGAGCCCAGTCTGGGTCCAGAGTCCCCCTTTTTGGGCTGCTGGCACATCACCTTTGTCTGTTTGGCTGGGTTCCCGGTGCCTGCCTGCTCCTGCCCACAGCCTTCCCCATCTTTCACCTGCCACATGCCTCTGTCTCTGCTCTTCCCAGGTACTGGACATCTTTGAGCAACCTGGTGGCCTCTCTGCTCAACTCAGTCCGCTCCATTGCCTCTCTGCTCCTCCTCCTCTTCCTCTTCATCATAGTTTTTGCCCTGCTGGGCATGCAGCTCTTTGGGGGCAAGTTTGATTTCGAGGACATGAAAGTGCGGCGCAGCACGTTCGACAACTTTCCCCAGGCCCTCATCAGTGTCTTCCAGGTTTGGGACAGTGGGAAGGGCAGCAGGGGCTGGGGGTGTCCCCTGGGCTGGGGGTCTCCAGGCAGGAGTTGGGGCTCAGGGGGATGTGGGTTTGTGGGGGTTTGAGACAGGAGCAGGGAAATACAGCTGGAGTTGTGAGCAATAATTCAGGTTCAGGGCTGAGCAGAAAGGAGGATCTGACCATGGAGCCAGAAGGGTGGGATCAGTCTGTGGGGTTCTGTCATGCTCTGCTGGGGATGCTCTTAAGTCTTTGTTACTGCTCTGCTCCTAGATCCTGACTGGAGAGGACTGGAATTCAATCATGTATGATGGGATCATGGCCTACGGGGGCCCGTCCTTTCCTGGCATGCTGGTCTGCATCTACTTCATCATCCTCTTTGTCTGTGGGAACTGTATCCTCTGCCTGCAAAGCCAGGCCCAGGCCCCATAGCATCATGCTTAGGACTGGGCAGGGGCAAGCAGGGGCTTCCCTCAGTGTTTCAGTGCTTGCCTGAAGCTTTTTGGTTGTGAAGAGCAGTGGAACAAACTACGGGCTTCAGGGCTGGCACTGTGGTGGCTGAGGGCTGGGGGCTGGAGGAAAGCACATCTGGAGCAGGTCTGGATGCCTGGCAGGCAGAGATTTAGCCAGAGAGGGCAGCCAGCTCAGAGCTCAGTGCTCACAAGGGATGGATGCTGGTTAGGCATCACCAGCCAGGGTTAGCACAAGCTCCAGGAGGGTTTCTAAGGCACCCTGGAGACCATGGATGGCTCCAGACAGGAACCATGTCTGTGTCCTTAGCACTTTTCCCCAGATATCCTCCTCAATGTGTTCCTGGCCATTGCAGTTGATAACCTGGCCGAGGCTGAGAGCCTGACCTTGGCCCAGAAGGCCAAGGCAGAGGAGCGCAAACGGCGGAAGATGTCCAGGTGGGTGCTGCCATCCCTGCCCTGGGAGCTCCCAAACAACCTGTTTGGCTCTGAGGGGACACCATGAGCTCTCCCATGGCCCCTGCCCAGACTTCAGTTCCCGCTCTGCCCTCCTCTCTGCTCAGAGGTTACCCAGAGAAGACTGAAGAGGACAAGCAGATGCTGGCAAAGAAGCTGGAGCAGAAAGCGAAGGGAGAAGGGATTCCCACAACAGCCAAGGTCAGTTCTGGTGGAGGTCAGCCTTGGAGGGCTCCTGGGGGGATGGCCCTGGCTCCCTCCCACCAGCCAGGAGAGACAAAGGCTTGGAGCCAGTCTGGGTCTGGCCTCTTGTCCAGAATCACTCCTTGCTTTAGCATTTGGTGATGGGTGCTCTCGGTGATGGGTGCTCTCAGTGATGGGGCTCTCTAGGCCAGGCAGGACATGCTGAAACAGCTCCATTGCTGGGGATCCTTTTCCTCCAGCTCATTCCCTTGGCCACAGCCAGTTCCAGTGGCTGGTGCACACCAGTGTGGGGTGGAGCAAAGCAAGTCAGCAGCATCCCAGATCTCCCTTATGTCCACACCAGCACCTCCATGTGCAAACCCCTCTGTTCAGCTATGCTGGCTGTGCTGAGCTGCCCCTGAGGAGCACCTGGCCAGCAGCAACTTTCCTTTCTACTTTCTAGAGATGCGCTTAGAAGCTCACTCAGGAGTTGCTCCCTATCTTATTTCCTCCTGGCATATTTGCATGGCTTCAGCACACATTCTTGTTTCCCATCCTCTTTGCTTCAATTGCAGCATCCCCTCACCAGGTTCCAGCCTGGGCCAGTACTCTGTGCTGCTGTATGGGCCCAAGGCAGAGATGCTGCTTGTGGCTTCCAAGATGAGAGGGTCTGGCCAGCTGGCACGTGCAGCTGTACATCCTCCTCTCTGTCTCTCCTTATTTCAGTTGAAAGTGGACGAATTTGAATCCAATGTCAATGAGATCAAAGACCCCTACCCTTCTGCAGACTTCCCAGGTAAGGTTTGTCCCTGGCAGGGCAGCAGGAAGGCTGAGGAGGCACTGCAGAGGGATGGTGTGTGAGGAGCAATGGATGCAGTGAGCTTCCACCAGCCTTGGGGTGCTGGGGGCCTTCTGGCTTGCATGCCAAATCAGGATCATGGGATCAGAGGATTGTCCATAAGATTGTCCATAAGATCATATTCCCTCTTCCTCTCTGGATTATTCTTTTCTTTTCCCTTTTCATGGTCACCCTACAGGTGATGATGAGGAAGATGAGCCTGAAATCCCCCTGAGTCCTCGGCCACGTCCCCTTGCAGAGCTACAGCTGAAAGAGAAGGCCGTGCCCATGCCTGAAGCCAGCTCATTCTTCATCTTCAGCCCAACCAACAAGTAGGCACTGCCCCTTGTCCCTGCCCAGGCATGGCCCAGGTGTCTCTAGCACCAGTTGTTTACAGCAGGGTCTTGTTGGAGCATGACAGCCAGTTCTGAAGGGAAGCAGCTCATGGGGAAAAGCCTTTTGTGTGGAAGGAGTGGTACAGACATCCTTCCATGCCCAGGGCCTTCCTGTCCTCAGCGTTTGCCCATATCCCTCTGCCAGGCTGCATGACTCTGTCTGATGCCCCTTGAGGTATCCCCTGGCATTTCCGTCCCTGGCAGGTTTCGGGTCCTGTGCCACAGAACTGTTAATGCCACCTGGTTCACCAACTTCATCCTGCTCTTCATCCTGCTGAGCAGCATTTCCCTGGCAGCTGAGGATCCCATCCGGGCCGAGTCCTTCCGCAACAAGGTGCCCACAGACATGGGGGGTTTGGGATAGATGGGAGAGTATTGGAATTATTGCCAATATTGTGTATGGGACGTGCCTGAGCTTGTCTGGGCCTTGCTGCTGAACCAAGCAGTGGCACTGTGGTGTTTCGGCCCAGAGACACTTTTGGCTGGCTGGATGTGTGGGGTTTCACCCCAGAGACACTTTGGGCTGGCTGGGTGCTGGGCACGTGAGGATAAGTCCAGGCCTGCAGGAGCTCTGGTGGTGCTGGGATGGAGCTTCCCCCATAACAGGGGCTGCTCCTCAGGTTTCCCTCTGGCAGAGAAGCTTTAAGGGGATGGTGAAGGAAAGGAGTTGGTTCTGATGGAGGGTTTGGAT